AAAAAAAAAAAACAAACAAACATAAACAAAAGAAATCCTGGGCTGGGAAGGTGGCTCAGTAGTAGAGCGCTTTCCTTGCATGCATGAGGCCCTGGGTTCGATTCCTTAGCACCACATACACAAAAAGAGAAAAGCCAGAAGTGGCACTGTGGCTCAAAGTGGTAGAGCGCTAGCCTTGAGCTAAAGAGCTGAGGGACAGTGCCCAGGCCCAGAGTTCAGGTCCCATGACCGGAACCAAAAAATAAAAAGAAATCCTGGTGAAAAGACTTGGATACAAGTCTTAACTCTAATGTGCAGAGCGGCTACAGGTAATATTGTATACGATCTACCAGAGTCCTTCAGTGGTATGACTTGTGTGTTGGTACTGGAGCTTGAACTCAGAGCCTGAGCACTGTTCTTGAGCTTGTTTGCTCAAGGTTAGTACTCTATTTGAGCCACAGCTCCACTTCAAGATTTTACTTGGTGGATAACTGGAGATAAGTCTGATGAACTCTCCTGCCTGGACTGGCTTTGATACACAATATTCAGGTCTCAGTCTCCTCAGTAGTAAGGATTATGGGTAAGAGCCACAAGTGTTCAGGCCACTTGTGACTTTTGGTTAACTGAAAGGTAAGAATCCATCAGATTTGTCTAGGCTGAACTTTAAAGCTACATCCTCGGATCTCAATCTCCTGAGTGGTTAGGATTATACGTGTGAGCTACCACATAGGCATCTGGCTTTGTTACTTTTTTGTTGTTGTTGTTGGTGTGTGTGTGTGTGTGTGTGTGTATGTGTAGTGCATGTGGGGCCTGAGGCTAGAACTCAGGGCCTGGAAACAGTCTCTTGAGCTTTTTATTTTCCCTCAAGGTTAGCACTCTACTACTTGAGCCACAGTTCTACGTCTGGCTTTTCTGATGCTTAGTAGGATATAAGATTCATAGATTTTTTTTGTTTTTTGGATCCAGTTGTGGGGCCTGAACTCTGGGCCTGGGCGCTGTCACTCAGCTCTTCAGCTCAAGGCTAGTGCTCTGTCAATTGAGCCACAGCATCACTTCCGGCTTTTTTTTTTCTTTTTGATTATGTGGTGCTGAGGAATTGAACCCAGGGCCTCATGCATGCAAAGCAAGCGCTCTACCACCAAGCCACCTTCCCAGCCCGTTACTTACTTTCTTAATTTCCTATTTTCCCCCTATAAGATAGAAACATTTTATTGGATAGCCTACCTATAATAACTGTGAGATATATATGTATATAAAATGTGATCTTTTTTGTTGTTGTTTGTGGGGCTTGAACTCTGGGCCTGGGTACTGTCCCTTAGCTCTTTAGCTCAAGGCTAGCGCTCAATCACATAAGCCACAGCATCACTTCCAGTTTTCAGGTAGTTCATTGGGGCTAAGAGGCTCATGGACTTTCCTGCCTGGGCTGGCTTTGAAACTCCACCCTCAGATCTCAGCCTCCTGAATAGCTAGGATTACAGGTGTAAGCCACAGGCATGTGGCA